TGAATACTATAACTATCAGTCCAGAAAAAAATATAGGTAATATTACACTTTATAATTGTAATAGCACAGTCAGATAGACTAGATAAGAAGCTAAACTAGCTAGACTAGCTAAAAACTGAAACACCAGCCTGATTTAGTTGAAAAACTAACACGTCCTAAATCTTGGTAATATCTACATTAGAAGATTTTTTCAGGTTAGGATTTTGTTGAACAGATACTACGCTTTTAAAACAATAGATGGCTGTACTAAAAAAACCCACAAAAACCCACAAAAACCCACAAAACCACAAAAATCCGCAAAAACCCCAAAAATTTGGGTTTTTCTAAAAAAATTGGGTTTTTGCCAACCCTGAACCTGATATCTACATTTCAGTAACAAACGTTCCAATATCATCATTTAAATTGCACGGAGTAAATATTAAAACTCTCGGTTTGACGCAATTCCCAGCTTGACGTAATGACGTCCTCGTCACGTAGTGATCGTCCATGACATTCTCGCGCACGCCGGTCACCGAATTATAGATATTTCTGCGCGATTAATAAACTCACTCGTGTACCGAACAAAGTTTCCCTCTCGGGCGCTCATTATACGACTGTTCATTAAGGCGGGTCAATTAGGTCCGAGAAAATTACCGCGTCGTTATTTCATCGGCGCTGCCGGTCGAATAAGTTAACGCGCGCACAATGTCACTCGTAAGTGAAGCGTGTGTGCAAACCGGAGGATATCCTTGAGGCACACGTCGAAGGCGAGCCACCACTTAACGCTCGATGCATAGTCAATTCGAAGTTTTTACCATTAATTTGAATCAGAAGCTATACGTGAAGAGGAAAGAAAATTGGAAATCTTCGACTCCGATTCTCAAGGAGCTCTCCGATAATTTTATACTTTCATTTTAGATCACTTGATAAAAATTCAAGAGTCTCAAATGAAGTACAGTATTGTTTATTAATAAAATGAAATCAGTACTTCTCGTCGATTGCGCGCGAATCGATGGTTGGCCGGATTGCCACCCCCGCGGGAACAAAATTATTTTAATTTCGCGGAAATTGATACCGTGGGAGAGATACGGGCGGGAGTCGGCTCGTTAATATCTGTCCCATAAACGATTATGGTGTACATAAATCGCACGGGGATCGACATAATCGATCGACAATGTCATCGGTCGATGGGCGTGCCGCGCTTCCTCCGTTTATATTTAAATTATCGCACGATCACGACGGGGGAACGCGCAACGTGTGGACGCACTCAATGTTGGGAACTTAATGCGCTCCCGGTGCAATCAAGCCCGCTCTTCGCAACCTCGAATCGTATGTAAATTGGATTTCGGCCGCTGCGCCTCGGCTCTTAACTTGATCGAGCTCTTTACGTGCGTGCCATTTCGGGAAAATATTTCGTTAAACACACCGTACTCCGTGTTTTTTCCAAAATCCGTAGGTAAAGAACGAAGGTAATTACGTAAATTACCCTCCACAGAAAGAAACAGATGGCGCACGCTTTATTCGCGAAAAAGAAGTATTGGCTCGTATTATCTCGAAAATGTTTTCGATTTCCATCTCCAAGTTTACCTTCGTGAAAGTGCACTTTTCTGGGCGGTCGATGCCTCGTGTGCTCGTGAACGGGGAAATCGTGCGGGCCGAGGTTCTCCCTCGACAACGAGCTCACCAGGATCCCCCTCAAGGTCGCGAGGGTGCTGCTGGGAATCTCTCTATTCATTTTGCCGGCTCCCATATCATCCTGGTCGCCACCATCAGCGTCGACACACGTGCTCGCGGCCGGTGCAATGTCCCGAGTGGAAACGCGAGCGGTCGCCCGGCATGACGGCTTCTACACGGCGTTACATCGTAACGCGCGCGCGCGCGATGTTATTCGCGTTCCGCGGAATGGTGTAGTAAAACTTATGACAATCTCCCCGAGGAGGTGCGCGGGGTGCCTCGACGATGCGTTCAACGTTCCACTCGGCTGCTCATACACTCTCCCGCGATCGCTCTTGCGTTATTCGCCGTTCTCGTTTACGGCCGATAAATGTCCGAGCTAACGAAGTAATTGCCGCGAACGGCTGATTAAACGTTCATGTGTTGCGAACGAATCGCCGTCGAAAGCGAAAGGTACATCGCCCGCGCGGAGCACGAGGATTCGATCGGCGCTCGCGTAATCACCTGCTGCTGCTGCTGGCCGGTGTTCTTGTGTAATTATTTAATTTATCATCCGCTGTAAAATTTCGATACAAACGGAATTTTAATTAGGATCGTTAATTTACGGATCGACAGGTATTTACTATAAATGCAGATCGGCTACGGCGACACGGTGGTCGGTGTCACACACCGGCACGTTGCCGTGACACGATATTTCAATCGACCCGAGAGAGAAAAAAATAACAACACGTGACGTTTCAAGATCGTGACTATCTTTTTTTCTTTTAAAGAGGCTTGCCTACGATCAAGCGCGATCGCGCATTACGTCAGCGTGTAAATTTAATCTAGCGTTTCAGCGAAAGATAACTTGCTCCGGAGAGCGTTTAAAGGTCGGGATTATCGAGAAATCATCGAACGTTCGACATCGAATTCAGCTTACGCGGCAATCAAAGTCGATAAATTCGGCAGCATACAATTTCACGACGGCTAATAATATTTTAATTATGCGTAGCTAAAGGACACGCGAGATTTGTTTGGCTAGATCGATCGACGGATAAATTACTGCAAAAATCGCAGATGACAGATTCAGCCTTAAGTGGCCTCTCGAGAGCTGTAAAAATTCAGCAGCGCGAAGATAAATTTGCCTTACGTTTCAATATGAATTCCGATTTCGAGATACGAAATTCCTGAAAATACAAACTTATCGATTCATTCATCTCCATTCATATATTCGAAAATCCAAATGTCGGCAAGCAAAACAAAACTTAGCGCATACTACGTATACTATAATTTCTATTCCATTTTAAAACATTCAGAAGTTTATAAAAGTACATTGTCGATCGGTCCCCTTTTTCGATTTACACACAGATTAAATGTCACTGCGCAAAGACAAACTTGTTGAGATATTTTGTCAGTGTCCCAGTCTCCCGATCTCGCTCTCGTCTGTCAATCGGATCTCCATTCGATTTGCATCCAGATGAAAAATTGCGGTGAAAAAAGCTAACTTTTTCTCGAAAGGACTTCACGCGCGCCGAGCCGAATTCCGACTGTCGAACGATATGATTTCTCCGCGTGACATTTTTACGTAATTAACCGTGCCTTCAATCGCGCGCGCGAGCAGGCGCGAGGCGGCGTGAGATTGCAAGTGTGTTCGATCGATCGATCCGGACTAACCGGTTAGAAAAATTTAATTAGCACCCTTGCGTGAGCGTAAACGTACGAGCGGTATCTCGCTCTCGGGTGTATCTCGCGAAGCGGCCGATTTTAAAGAGACGGGCACCCGGATTCGCCACGCGGAGCGGCGCGACCTCGCACATTTAGAAATTCCCTCTCGTGCGTCACGACTTTTCCCTTTTTCCGCCGGCAAATCGCACGCGGTGGCACGCAACGCGCGCCGACCCACACGTTGCATTCCCGCACGGCGCGCACAATAATATGCACTCGATACAACAAAGCACTCGAAAGCGATGCGCGCGCGAGCGCACCCGATTTACCGGCAATTTCACTGAGAAGACAACGCACGTTTCACAACCACAGTTCGTAGAAGTTCGATAATATCCAGAGCAGAGTATTCCCCGAGGGATCCGAAATTAATCCCTCGCGCCGCTCCCGTTCTCCCAGAAGCGTGCCGTACCTCACGTTCAAGGACGCGTCGCGTCACATCCCACGAGTAACGTATCCCCGCGGATGCGGGACGTCGAGACGTCACTCGTTGTACACATCGTCGCGACGACGCGACGTATCCGCTTGACGAGCGTCCCGAACGTCCCCGTCGAACATGCCCGCGAGTGTGTGACTGACTCGCTGGAAGAGGTACAGGTCCCTCTCCTTAGCGCGAGTGCCTCTCTCTCGCTCGCTCTCTTTCCGCGCTCTCGGCACTTCTCTCCCACTCGTGCGGCATGTCCCGCTCCGCAGGTACCCGCTCCGCGGATAGGTGTATTACCTTCGGTAAGGTGCCTCGCGTTTGCCGTTTGTCGCCCGACAACCGGGAGTGGGGAAAACGCGCGCGGAGAGAACACCTGTATTATATACCTGCCGATGCACGTACCTTGCAAAACGAGCGCCGTGCAACGTGAGACAGTCGCGAGTATACAGGTGGAGATCGCGTAACGACCGAGACGAAATATGGGGAGTAGCGCCTCGAATTCTCCGTCCACGTATCTCAGATATGCACGCCTGATCCTTCTGTGGCTCGGAGTAATATGGCAGTTCGGGTTATTCATGACTTTGGGGACTCCCGGTGCCCGAAAGTGTACTTCCAGCATCCGGGATTCGTGTATTCTCGCAATATCAGAATAACGAGAACACATCAGAAATAGAGAAATAGAAATTTCAGCCTGTATAACGCTAAACCAAACGGTATCCATGTTATTAACTTGTTTTTTGTCAATGATAATAATAATAGAACCGAATGCCGGTAAGATACGACAGCAAGAAGACTTTCACGCCTAATTTGGATCCGCGCCGCCGAAGAACGTAACGCTTAGAAATGCGCAAGTATAAATATCCCTCTACTTTCACCGCGCTCTATTAAGAAGAGTGTAACGGCAATACGCTCGAAGAGACATCCGTAAAACGCTTATTATTATTGAATTAAAACCAAAAATTCCGCATTAAGGATCGAGCAATAAAGACTGATCAAAAGTCAGCTGACGGTTCGTTGACTTTCCGTTTATGGTTATGCTGGAGAGTTTCACTCCGCGAGCACAACGGAGCGTATAAACGGCAATCGGGGAATGACGAAAACGGCCTTAAAAGGCGACGCTAACAGACGTTCTCTTGATTGCAAGTATGATAGGAATCTTACTTACTTCGTTTAATCATTTAATTTCAATTAATTTTTGTCCGTCTACAAAAATTATCGACCTTCATTATCTATTAAAAAAAATTATTTAATTGTATAACATGAGTTATTAAGTAAATTCTTGAGCAAGCAAGAATTAAATTTTTGAATATAGAAAATTTGTTGGATGTATTTCTAAGAGCGTATCAGACCATTTGTTTAAGAATTTAAGCAAAAGTGTATTTTACGAGAAAGTTTAGTTACTGTAATTTCTATATGGGACCTTCCTCTTCAGCGAAATACCGATAGCATAATCTGCTCACGCTTCGCTGATACTCATTTTAGCGTCGCGTCGGTGCACCGCCGATATCTTTATAATCGCGAATGAAGAGCAATCGTCCGTGAATTCCGTAAATTATTAAAGTGACAACCGTTCAAGGATCAAGCTAACGAAGATCTATGCTGACATCATAAATAAATCGTAGCCAATCTTTTTTCGAGGCCCACAAACTATTGTGACGAAAAAGTAAATATTATACCAATTTATTTTCGTCGATAAAGCGTTCGATTAAATTTTTCATTTTACAAAACTTTCTATTGCATTGGAAAACAACGATGAATTTCCGTTGCTCCAACTTTATTCCTCCACATTTGTTTTTACAGTATACATATATAGGATAATGCACACACGCATACACTGTATACTGTCTGTGAAATTGATCAGAGAGAAAATAAACGCTGTTATTATGTTTGCCACACGAATCGGAAGGGAAAGAATCAAATTCGGTCGGAAGATCGCTGTAACCGTGCGTGCGTGCAGTATTTGTTTTCGTCCGACATCGATTTTGAAAATCAACACGTACGACCCAATATGTGTGAAGAGCACAGCTCGGCAATTTGTCAGCAACGATAGCCGTCAGCGGGTGGAAGGGGCATTTTTATTGGATCAACTGTATGTTGTGCGGATGCGGGAGGGTAGCAACGATATTTCTTTTTTCGCGGGGAGAGCCCTTCTTGGGGAGAAGCGTTAAAGCGTGGCGGTCGTAGATCACCCGTTAAGTCGAATCGGCCGTAAGTAACGACCCTGATCGCGGTCCTCCAGCTTCGTGTCGTCGCGCCCGCGAAAATACGTGGAGAATCACATAACCGTTCGGTCGCGCCTCTCAAATCCCGACGTCGCTCTGGCGAGGTACGGGAAAATACACTTGGCTTCCGGTTCTCACTCCACAAATTGTTTTTCAACGTTGAAAAATTTCTCTCACTACCTGGTAGAAAAACCAATTTTCATTATACCTATGACGTACGTATAATCTCGAGATTACCTCGGAAAGGAAACGCATTCCTCGCGTTCCGCGATTGGGTTTCAAGGAAACACATACCGGCGAGCATCGCGCTTACATTACATCGCGACGCACGCATCCAATATACACTCGGCGGGCAAATCTCCATCGATAATGCAACACTTGCATGCTGCGACGGTAATGACCGTGAACGGAGAAAGCGCGGAAGTATATATTCCCTGGAACTTTAGAAAAGCTCGGAAGAAACGAGCTGTCTTGAAATAGCTCGCGATTTCTTCTTCGGTCGATCTCGCGCGCGCGCGGATACGACTTCCTCCTTTCGTGTTCGCTATTCCGCGAACCGTTCGCAGAGAACCGGTGGCACAAAGTCGCGGGGGGGCTAGAAAACCGCAAGACGACGGTGACTCGGTAAGTTCCAATCGCGAGGAGAATAAGAGTATTGTGCGAGAGGAGGAAGAAGTTGTTGAGTGTCCGCGTGAATGGCTGTTCAATGAATGGAAAATTTTACGGGGCGCTCGTTTCTTTCGCGCGCGCGCCTCGGAAACCCGGTTTGTAAACCAAATCCGGCACGCCGTTCTAAATTCGACGTGACGCACGTGGCGTGTTGTGTGTAGGTGAGCCGCCGGAGACGAGTGACGTGTGGCGTGAGTAAGCCGAAATCGAGCGAGTGTGGTGGCTTCATTAAGGATTCTAAACGCGCGTCGCGCGCATGAAACAGGAAGAATAAAACTCGTACCGGACGGACGGCTGAATTCCCGTTTCTTCTCGCGTTCCCTCACTAATATCGGCGACCCTTGACGCGCGAGTAATATTTCTGCGATCACGCGCGCAGCTTCTCGCGAGGTATACCTAGTCGAGCCTTAGGAGAGCCAACGATAAGCATAATTTTACGCGCGCTGCGGTCACGTTGCAACGCGCGAGCCCATTAAGGTGTCGGCTACTGATTTGCATCGAGGATTGCGCGCACCGACGCGATAGCGCACAGGTGCTTACGCAAGAGATTTGTCTCGGCACGACCACCATCTTGCGCGCACCGTTGTGTGTCGTACCGTGCCTTCGCCGCGCGATTTATGCGTCATGCAACGCGTGGTATTCACGTCCCGGCGATCTTTCGCGGCCGGGCGACCTTGCAATGCCGTGTGGTGGTGCCGCGATGCAACGCAACCGCTGCGCATAGCGTTGTCGACATTAGCGTCGGACTCGATCATCGTCGCTGAGAAAAGGCACTTCGGTATAAGCGGACTTTTGCCGATAATAATGTACACGTGTAAAACGTATATTAATTCCTAATTCCTGTAAGATACGTGTGTGTATATGTGTGTACGATTATATTTATAAAATTATTCATTCAAATTATTATATGCGATTACATTTCAAAATCGTTTCAATCACGACATCGCGCGATTCAGTCGCGAAAAGACTCGACTCGATAACAGATTTTGCGAGGGTCCGTGAGCTGAATTTAAATCGAGAGTCCTACGTGAAATGTAAATCGAGCTCCATGCCATCCATTTCGCGATACGCCCGCGCCGCCGATCCCCGAGGTGAATGCGCAGCTCGATGCCGCGGTTTAATAATGGGTTTCCCGCGGAGACCATATCAAAGGGCGAGCGGCGTGGCAAAGCCAGCCTCGTGGTAATTAGCGGCGATGCCGCGGAAAATAACCGGCGTCCGGGTATGAATTTCACGAAATCTATCGGCACTTAAGCGAGTCCGTAAAAGAGCCATTAGGAAGTTCCCTGTCGCGATGCGAAACTTCGAGTCGTTAATCCTCGTTCCTCGCGAATTGTCGACGGGGTTATGCATTTAAAATTCTAATTCGTGGCTGTTTTTATCCGCGCGAGCCGGAGGACCGGTCGCTCTGAGGACGCGAGAAAGGTACGAGAGATTGTCCCTTTGTGGTTCTCTCGGGGGACAAAATTACAATACGAGCGGTCCTCCGTCGTTATTAACTCTTAAGCGAGCTTGCCTCTTTGGAAGATATGTGCTCTCTTGAGTATCTACATCTCGGTGAATATTACTCTGTATCGAAAATATTAATTAAGATGTTAATAAAATTTTCATCTTAGTGAAAAAGTCATTTAAATCATTTTAATTAAAATCAAAATTTATTTTAAAAGGCTAAAAGACCGAATTATCCAATATTGAGAAGGATATTGATCTATTTAGAGTACGCTTTCTGCGACATTTACCTTTCAATTTGCAATCTCGAAGTTTTCCTCCGCTCTGTGTGAAAGCATAAAATCACTAAACCTTTGTAACGAGTATTACTAAAAAAAGAGACAAAATAGAGCGGATAGAATTCGTAAGCTATAAAATACGTAAAAAAAAAGATACCTTGAAGAAACGGACTCTTACAGGAAAGTTTCTACAAGAGATCCAGAAACACGTGTATATAGTATTCCTTAATGTAAAAAGTTAAATTACATGTAGCGCACGTTAAAACTTAATTATCGAACGAGTTCGTTTTAAGCGGAAAGGTGAATAGAGCGTCGTAATTAATAGGTGGCATTACAGAGACGGCGTTACGAAACTGCCGCGTGAACTCTCGCAGAAATGGCCGATCCACACAGTCATTTAAACTTAGCGAATCCACGATTCCTTCGTCGTGGTTAAAACATCGTGGACATTACATACACATTTATACATTATATAATAGACATGTTTTTGTAAGTGCGATAAGCATTAGAGAAAAAGTGAAAGCAAGA